TGACCTGACAGCAGTGGGCCATCCCTTAGAGCTGCCCTTTTTCTTTCTATACCTCTCAAGGAAGAAAAAACAAATCTAGTGTTGAAGTGAAAGTGTATTTGCATATATTTAAAATTATTCATAGCTGGGAGGCAAATGGAAAGAACAAAAGACAGGAGGAAAACTTGTATTTCTTCTTTCGTTTTTCAGGAGTGCAGACTATGGAATTCTTATGCCTATGATGCCTCTTTTGCTCATTCTCCTTTGCTGGTTCTTTCTCAGCTTCAACCTCTAAATTTTTCAATGCATTGGGCCTCGATGTTCTCTCATCTCTTCTCCTCTCCCCACATCCTCCCTTAGTGTTTCCTGGCTTGAAAGACCTTTAAGGTAACAATTTCCAAATGTATGTTTCCACCACAGACCTCTTTTCTCAATGCTAACGTTCCAACTAACATGGCCACCTGCATGTCTAACTGGCACTTCAACTTAACACTTCCAAAATGGAAGACCTGATTCCTCCTCAAATCTGGCCTTTTCCTCATTTACTCATATACTCATGTCAGTAAATGGGGTCTACATCATTTTTGTTATTCAGGTCAAAAATCTTGAGGTCATCTTGACTTCTCTTTTACCTACATCCAATTCATCAGAAAATCTAATTGGTTGTATTTCAAATATATGGATAATGGTCCCTCCATTTCCATTACCCTGGTCTAAGCCCAACATCCACTGTAGGCTGGAAGTAGTCTCCATGACAACCACCTCTAACGAGTCTCTCTTGTTATAATAATACTAGAGGCCGGGTGCATGGATTGGTGCACCAGTAGGGTCCCTTGGCATAGCTTGCAGGGATTGGGCCGAAACCGGCAGTCCAACGCCACCTGTGGCTCCTGCCTGCTGCTCCAGCTCATCCCATCCCCACTGTGCCTGCTGCCACCGCCACTTGATAGGCTCGCTGCAGTCTCTGGGCTGCCGTGGCCAGCTATGAGCCCTGCATCTGGCACCTGTCTGTCAGCTGAGTGGCGCTCCTGCTGTGGGAATGCACTGACACCAGGGGGCAGCTCCTCCGTTGAGCATCTGCACATCATAGCAACCGGTTGTTCAGTTGTTCGGTCGCTTAGACTGTTATACATATAGATAACAACTATAATACACTGAATAATTTTTAATGTGCAAGATTGCCTTAGAGATATATAGCCTTGCAAATCATGAAAGCTGTGCAATTCATTCCCATCACATTTTATAGATGAGAAAACGGAGGCTCAGAAATGTGAGTAGTTTGTGACCCAGGTTTTCTGTAATACAGCTCCAATTTAAACAGATTGAGCAGACTCCAAAACCAATTTTACATAATATTCCACCTCTGTTGTCCCGCCCAGAGGATTGTCTATATTGATGGGAATCTGAAACCATGTAGGAGAGGATAAAACCACTGTGGTAGGTGCATTAGGTATGGATGTTTGGGCCTTGTCATATCACAGCATTAATGTTATGTCACTTAAGTGCTTTTCTACTTAGTCTACAACTAGGACCAGAACAAAAGCTCATATTAAAAAAAAAAATTCAAAAATTATTTTTGGAGTATGTATGAATATGGTCAAAGAAAAAGATCATAAGAGTGAGCTGAAACTAATAGATATAATATTACAGAAAAGATTATATCTGAGATTTATTAAACTTATATTGAGCTGTTACTTAAAAAAAAAAAAGATAGCAAGCCAAATGGATTGAGGCATACATGAAAAAAAAAATCCCTAAAAGACTGAAAAGAAAGGTATAATAAAATAGGTAAGAAAAAAATAATAATCCCCTTCCCCAGAAAAACTGCATTGTAAAAAAAAATTCCTTAACTACAGCTTTTGAGCAATGATTTTTTACTGGTTTTTCCTTAGACATAATTCAATAACTTCAAATAGAATATTTGAAAGCTCTCCACATATATTGTACTACTACTTTTTAATAATTTATAATGCATAATATTTATCATTATTGTAAAAACATATTTTGAGAGTTTTTCATCATTCATATTTCTTTTCATTCATCCATTCTTATTGAACTAAATAATGTAAATTACCAAGAGGAAGTCTTCCTATACTACCAAGTGCCTTACAATAATAATTTGGAGAACACAGAACACAGGCTGAACTAGAATGTTCCTTTCTACCACCACATGTGTTTCTGTTTGTGTTGTGCTCCACAAAGAACCAAATATTGTCCTGCCCAGAGGGGTGGGGCAGGGGTGTTCCTGCTGAAGACTGCTCTGTGTAGGAAGAGAAAAGACTGATGCTACAGGCCCTCCAAAGGAATTCACTTAAGCTTCATACCAGATTTGAGAGGGCTGGTTTTACCTGCCTAAAGTTGGAACATGCAAGACACCATTCAAGCAATCTCTAGGTTGGGGATACAAGTTCTACCTTGTGATTCCAGTGTAGCTTTGACCAATGTCTCTTAGCAACCGCCCACCTCACAATGTAAAGCATTGAGACACGCCTCAGTATGTGGAGGAGGTCCCAGAGAGGTGAATTTTTACCTTCTACTCTTCCAAAGTTTATGCTTTGATCCCAGATTTACCTTCCTTTATGAATAAATGAAAAAGAGAGGGGGGAGGAGGAAGAAGTAGGAGGAGGAGGAGGAGGATGGGAGGAATAGGAAGGAAGGAAGGAAAGAAGGAAGGAAGGAAGGAAGGAAGGAAGGAAGGAAGGAAGGAAGGAAGGAAGGAAGGAAGGAAGGAAGGAAAGATGTTTCTTGACCTTGAAGAGATTGAACCTCCAGTGTCAGGAAATTTGGAAGGCATATTCTCCAGGGTACTTATTTTATTTCTGGTAGTATGCTGGGGTCCAGCCCCAGCAGGTCCAGGGTTTCCCAAAGGTGTGGACGGAGTCGGCGAAGAATGAATGACACGGAGGCAGTGTTCAGGTGATCATCATAGCCAGGTTCCTCTTCCTTTTATTGTCATCTAACATCTGTATATATACTATTTGGTCCCAATCCTATCCATTCTATACAAAAGGCCAGGGGGCTTCCCAAATGCATTCAAAGGTTACTCTATTGTTCCACTAAGCTACAAGGAAGTAACTGAAGGAGGTCACTCCAAGCAAAGATCAAAGCGACCAACCACCCCTCTGACACTCAGTTAAAGGGTTTACTGACAAAAATCCTGACCTGGGGAAACAACCTGTCTTCTCCTAGCCAGGTTCCTTCCCCTCTTGTCCTCTTACGTCTGCATTTATCCTATTTGATCTTAATCCCATCCATTCCATTCCAAAGGCTAGGGCATTTCTCATCTCCATTTCAAGGTTACTTGAAACATCCCTGCAGAGACTGCCTCAAGCAGCCAGGGTGGATCGGCTTCCAGCAGTAGTAAATAAAGCCCTTAGGGAAGGTTATTGATTTATCTGGCCTATTTAATATATTGAATTACACTATTTCATACTCCAGTGGCCTGAAAAAGTTAATTTACCATTTGAATGGCATGAATGATGAATACTTACACCAAGTCCTGGCACTTTACAATACCGAACAAAGATTTAGTATTTTTTTTTTTTTACTTAGGTGTGCTTTGTTGTTTATTAGTGTCAATGGAAAATAAAAATAAAGTAATGCTCTGTTGAAGGATAGCATGACGGTTGCTGGCTCAGGTGGCATCTCAGTGTGAAAGATGCCTTAACATAGGGCCCTGGTCCTCAGGGAAGAAGAGACTATCAGAAAGGAAGAGGAAAGAGATGGTACCAAATCCTTGGCTTAATGTGCTCCTCTCCTTTTAGCGGGTACATTAATAGTCTATCCCATGACCTCTCTATCAAGACTTTATGCACTGCCATGTGGAGGCTAGCATGGGATTCTGAAAATTAACAGTTGATTTTTGTTCCTCTGGACATATGGGCTGCTTGGGGCACTAAAATGGTGTGGAAAAAAATGTATCATAATTTGTATAATTTAAGCAATGGGGAGGAAGGACCAGACCTCTGAACTGCATTTCACATGTAAATGCAGTTTACATATGGGCCTTGTGGATGTCCAAGAAATAGAACTTCTCGACTGAGGGGGCACGCTTCCACACACTGACCTTGCAAGAGGAATATAGATCAGACTGAACACAGCTGTGCCCTTTAGTTATTTTGGAGGCAAATTTATTAACCTCAAAAGGTAAGACTGGGTGCTGCTTTCTGTCTTTGAAAGCTATGAGGATGCCTTTGTGTTCCAGAAAATGCTTGGATCAGATTCCACTTCTCCATAAAAGAGGAGGTGTGATGAAATAGAGACCGGCAAAAAGCATTCTTCTTATTTTTACAGATCCAGTAGAGTGAATGAATTAAATAAATAAGTAAAAATACAATGGATCAATGAATAAATAAAGATATAAATGACATTTCTAAAGTAGCTCTTGGGGAGTCCAAACTCCCAGATAGCCAACAAATGATACATATAAATAGAGGGCTTGTAAATTGTCAAATGCCTGAGGTTAACCACAGCACTGCTTGGCGCTAGTCCCTCCAAGAGACTGGCAATTGGCTGCAGGAAAGTTGGAATTCCAGAGCACATTTGACTCTCTGCTTCTCCCTCAGAGTTTAGCAGGCTTCTCCCTGGGCTGCCTGCAGGCCTGTAGGACACATCTGACTCCCCGGCGTGCATTCTCTCCCTGCTCCCCGGCTACCTGTTTACTCCCCCAGGCGGAGGGACAGGGACAGTCAGGCGCGACCCAGCAGGTGGAGCGGCTGAGCTGGCCCCAGGGCAGCCCCAATATGAATCTCAGTGTGGGTGTGGGGCAATTTGGGTGGGAACAACCTGGAGACTACCACCTCGCCGTCCTGCGCCTGGCTGGTGGGGTGTGTGCAGAAAGAGCAGAAATAAATAGGAGGCTCCCTCCTCCCAGCGACTCTCAGGGATCCGGAGGCCGCCGCCCTGGGTGTTTGCCTGCCCTGTAGCCAGGGTTCCAGCCTGAAGAGTAGTTTCGTTTCCTTCTGGCTCCAGGATTAGTTTCCAGGCACCTCCTCGGACGCCCCGTGGCCTGGAAAAGGGACGCAGGAGGAGGCGGGAGGCTCGTCTAGGGGCTGCCCGCCCTGCAGCGCGGGTTTGATGGACCTGACCGCCCCGGGCAGCGGCGCCGGCTCCCTGCCGCTGCTCCTGGCCCTGGGTAAGTGGCCGCTCTGGGTGCTGGAGACCCAGGAGGAAAGCCGGGGTGGAGTCGCAGGGAGAGCGAACTCTGATCTGAGCTGGCATCTGGACCCAGGGCGGCGTGGGGCTGACAGGGGCAGGTCAGGGAACTTGGGCCGCTGGGAGAGTGCGACGTTTTAAGGGCCTGGCGATGGGGCACCTGCTGGGGCTGTCCCTGGGCGCGCGGGGGCTGCGAGAGGGCGGAAGGGATCCCGGGCCCAGCGGCTGGTGCTGCAGCTGTGGGCTCAGAGCGGAGGACCTGGGTTGCTAGGCAGGGTGCCCTCAAAACCTTGGGGGGCTCCGTGGGGGGCTTCCTGCTCAGGAGTGAGAATTGGTGGGAGGAAAAGCAGGAGCATTGGGGAGGAAGAGAAAGATATCCCGGGAGTAGTTGGAAAGAGAATTCCTTGGCTTAAGATGCGGGCTGGGAGTGCAGGGCCAGGTGGATGGGTCTTTCCTTGGTGTGTGTGCCAGAGGTAAGAGAGAGAGATTACTCCTGGGGAGACTCGAGCTGGCCTCGGCTTGGGATTGAATTCTTACACCTGTTTCTTGCTGGAGCAGTGGGGGGAGCTGGAGGAGAAAAGGCAACTTCTGAGACCCGATCTCCTGTTGCTGATGGGGCAGCAAAGAAAAAGGAAATGACATGTTCCCCCTAGGGCGCTGTCCATGAAACGCACAGGTGCTTTCCTGGGGATCTAGTCATGTGCTGCTTAGACCGGGATGCGCATTCTAAGGAGTTGTTAGGGGATTTCACCATCGTGTGAACACCATGGAGTGTACTTCCACTAACTCAGAAGGTATAGCCTAATGCACACCCAGGCCCTATGGTATAGCCTAGTGTTCCTAGGTCCCAAGCCTATACGTGTTACTGTACAAAGCAACATGAAATTAAATCAAGCACAAGAGAAAAGCATGCAATCAGGGCACTTGGTAAACAAAGATGTATGAGACTGCTGCTAGTGTAACAAAGCATACTGTTTTACAGGACACTTGTTTTTAAGGAGTAGAGTAGAAAGATGCAGTCTAAAATAACAATAAAAAGTGTAGCATAGGTAATACATAAACTAGTAACAGTCACTTCTTATCATCATCAAGTGATCTGTACTGTACATAATTGTATTGCTATACATTTGTAAGACTGGCAGCACACTAGGTTTGCTTACGCCAGCATCACCATACACCGTTGAGTAATGTGTTGCTCTATGACATCATGCTGGCTACAAAGTCATTGGGTGATAGGAATTTTTCAGCTTTATTATAGTCTCTGGGGACCAACAATCCTAGATGTGGTCCGTTGTTGGCCAAACCTCCTTAGGCAGCATGTGACTGTATATTCTTTATTTTAAGGAGAAATTGCAGGAGGGAAAACTTTTCTTCATTTCGAAGGTTTAATCTAGGTTGTTAGGTTAAGGACCACTGGGTGTGGTCACGTGGTGTGAGGGAAGAGAGGGCAGAGGCCGGTGGGAGGAGTTGCAGGATGCCCAGAAACCCCTGGAGGCTGACCCCACTGCCTTGGGAGTCGGTGCTGGCAGACAGGAACCTGGAACTTCAGGTGCTGGGGGAGGTGTATGCAGCTGGAAACCAGGCTCCCTTGGTCCTCCCGTGTGATAAGGTAGCAGGAAAACCCACCACTTTAGGGCATCCCATCGACATCAGGGCCATTTTGAGGGGGGTGGAGGGAAGGAAAACTAGTATTTTGCAGGCTTAGCTGGGATGTGGGGCAGGGACACCTGGGCTTGGGGCATTTATGTGGGAGAGGAGAGTCTTCACAGCTGAAGCGTCTACAGCTTCAAGCCTAGGAAGGGCTGGGATTTCTCTTACGGAGGGAAAAGAAATGGAACCTAAGTGGAAACTTTCATGTGGCTGTTCCTTGGAGTCAGAGAGGTGGCTAAAAAGGTTTGTGACCTCGGCTGGAAGTGGACAGACCATGGTTAGAGAGAAGGAACTGATTTAACAAATCCTGCAGAGGAGGAAGAAGTCAGGAACAGGTTAGTGGTGGAGTGATGTGGAGCCTCCAAGAAGAGCAATGGGTCTGAGAGTTACGCCCAGGACCAGTGCTGATGCGATGCCAGTTCTGGATGAAGGTGGAAATTTCTCCTTACAACTCATATGGACTGTCCAACACTCAAAGTATTTACTGAGCATCTGCTCCAGTCAGCAGGATGCTCGAGTATATGGAAATGGGAGTGGGATGAGGGCTTAAGAAACTCCAAGATGTAATTTCGAAGGCATGATTTCTGCTCTAAAAGATGTTATGTTGAATTGGGGATACAAGACTAACAGATATGACACAATAAGAGAAAAATTCATGAAGCCAGGAAGGGAGAGCTACCTCCACCAGAGCTTCAACAGTGGAGGGTGGGGTAGTGGGGAACAGCTGCCTGGAGGACACGAGTGGGTGCCTTGAAGCTTGGGTAGCATTTGAAATAGTAGAGAAAGGACGCCAATGATATACAAGGGCTGGTGATGGGAATAAGATTGTTTTCCTGGAGAGACAGTCAGTCAGCATGCCAGAAAGTAGAATTTATGAGAGGCAGATGGATGACGAAGAGCCAAAAAAAGCTACATTAAAATATTTGGACATGAATCAATAAACAGTTAAACACACACCATCATAGGTCTTGAATACGGAATGATATAATGCAAACAAAGATTCAAGGAGGTAAACTGGTCAGTGGGGTGTAGTGTGGGAGCAGGGGGAGAGGTGCTGGGGGCCAGAGACCTGATTGTCTCAGCTGTGATCCAGGCATGAGCTAATTCAGGCCTTAAATTAGGGTGATGTGCCCAGTGAAATGTTATGGTAGAAATTATTATTCCAGATTAATGGATATTCTTCCCCCTTTACTATCACACAGTGCTTTATCTTTTTTCTCAAACCCTGTTAAAAAGCAGAAAAACCCTAACCTAGTGTTATTGTACACTCAGAGTAACCTAAATGTACAACTGCCCTGTTGAATGTTTGGCTTAGGGAATTGAACTCAGTCTTTAGATCCCCTGAAGCTCCACTCGCTGCAAAATGCCAAAGGCTGTCTTTTGTTGGCATCAGTGTTCACAGAAAGTGGTCCTTTTTCTCTCATGCTCACTGTACTTTTAAGTCACATGTTATTGTACTTACTTTTTGAAAGGAATGTGAGCAATGTACTGTGTGATGCACTAGCCAGTGTGTGTGTGTGTGTGTGTGTGTGTGTGTGTGTGTGTGTGTGTGTGTCAGTGAAAAGTACCTTGAGAACTGGCAATGAGCAGGCATGAGACCTGGTTCTACTCTGCTATTCCGTGACTCAGAGATGCCTGCAAGTTATAAATTCCTGGGCCTTGATTTTCTCATTTGCAAAATGAAGCAGTTGCTTTAGATGAGACTAAAGTTCTTACCAACTTGACATTGCAGTGATCTGTAACCAACACTTTCATGGGGAAATTTAAGAGAAAATCTTTTTACAATATCACTTAACTTCCATTTCCTATGTAATGGGATCTCTGTTTCAGGCAAACGTTATCATCACAGAGATAATCATGGATGCTTGATTCTTGGAGAAATATGGTAAAGGGGCAATAACTTTCTTTAAAGTGGGTTTTTTATCTTTAAAAAATTGAGTCATTCTCTGTAATTCTTTTTTTTTTTTAGTTTCTCCCTCACATCCACTTGCTATGTAACACTAACACTGAAATTATAACCAATGAAAAAGGGGAAAAACTTTTCTTTTGAAAAAAATGAGTGTGTTTTAAGGTAAAAAATACGTTCTCCTTATTAAAATCTAAAACGTTAATATTTGCAAGTTGGTTTTAAGTTCTGCTAGAAAACATGAATGTATTTATGATTATAATATCTAGCTTTGAAGTTATAAAGCAGAAGGTGGCAGCAGGTAAAATTCCCATTGTACAAATGATGTAACTGAAGCCCCAAACACTGGAAGATTTTAGGATTTGCCTCTTCAGACATGATTTTGACTTAAAAGAGAATTGGAGTTTTTGCATGTGTTTTTTTTTTTTCCACTTGAAAAACCTCAAGTTTCACAGCCCACACTTGCATATTAACAACTGTTACAAAATCAGTTTTCGCCATTGCATGATTCTCTCTTGTGGTGTGGAAATGCCCGAATAATTCTGGGAGAGCCCAATACTGCAGGCATACCCCGTGATGCCCCTGCTGAAGCTCGGCCTGCCAATGCCTGTGCCAAAATGGAAGGTGCAGAGGACAGAGGATACTTATGTCTCTCCCAGGGGCGCAAGCTTCTGGCACTGCCTCATCTCTGTGGGGATTGTTCACCCCAGTACTCCTGTGCCCCTTAAGTCCACAGAGAGCCTGGAGGGAAAAACATCATCTTGTTTGTTCTCACCCTTTAATTGTAGTCAGCTCATGCCAGGATATAGACATGAATACCCATGAACCATGCTCGTAAGCATCTTCGTAAGGATCAGTGTCTTTCCAGGAGGGTCCAGACAAGCCGGAATCAGGGCTGCGTGCAGGTTAAGCTTAAGCCATGATCATGATGCACTTACAAATTGCTCGGACAGACCCCTGGGTCCACAAAGAATCTGAAGTCCAGTTGGTCAGGAGTGCTTCAGACTACAACTTAAGAGAAAGCCATCTGATAGAAATGGGTATGCTCTTACTGCTAATGGCTGCTAGCTTTCCCAGGCATATTTGTATCTTGAAAAGGGAATCTTGGTAGCTCAAATGAATTTCTAATTGCTAAATAAGATAATTTTTTAGATGGTTGAGAGAGATGGAGTATTTAATCTTAGGTCACATCAATTAGGTAATAACCTACTTTGATTATCAGCAAGGCTAAGTCAAATAGCCATGAAATACTTTTACTTATTATTTACATTTTTTTGAGAATATGTAGTATATTATTTACCTGACTTGTAGACTAGAAACATTAATTCCAAAACAGTGACAAAAATTTGTACAATGTGTGTGTTCAGCCTTATTGCCTTATTTCAATTTGACTGAGTTGGTTGAGTTACTACTGTAACATTCCC